ATTAATTTCCTAAACGTATCTCCAAATCACTGTTCATGATAAAGAAAATTAATGCAAAAAAGAAAAACTGGCCAATAACTACCTTGATCAGAAAACAGATCCAGGGCTGGGGGCGCAGCTCAGGGGAGAGTGCTTACCCAGCTTGTGAGATGCCCTGGCTCCAGTCCCAGCAATTCGGGAGGCAGGGTAGACACAGGTGTTCTAGTGCTTTGTAAGCTCAGCAAGTGGGCCGGGGGCTCCTGCAGTGTGCAGCGAAGCCACTCGCTCCACCCTGTGCACCAACTCCTCCAAGGCCAGCCTCACCTTGGGGACTGCTATGTCCAGACAGCTGCCAGGCTGCACCACAGCTACGGCCGCCTGGGGACAAGAGTGTGCCATGGCTGTCGGCACTAAGCAGGTTTCAGGAGTAGTAAGTGGGCGCTGGATGTTGAGGTGGACAGTGCAGGCAGCCTGCGAGGGTCAGGGTCCAAAGGACTACTTTATGGCCTCATCTTGAAAGTCAGGTATAAAATTTCTAAAACACAGTCGAGCACTCCCTCTACTATGCTGAGCTCCTCGAACCGATAAACGCCACAGAAACGGTGCACAGGAGGCCACTGCAGACACACTGGGAAAATGACTTTGAAGACAGTTTCTAATTAAAAATACTTCCTTAGGGCAGTAAACTTACCACTGAAAGACAACCAAGGAGACATTATCTTGGAGTGGATTTCCAGTGTGCTTTCTTTAAAATTCAGACTATGCAATTTTTAAGAAAGAAAGCAAGCTGGGGATGCATCCCATCAAAGACATCAGACTGCAATGTCAGCTATATCACTCAGTTACAAGGAGCAGATCCTTATGAACTAAGGCAACAAATTGTGCAAAGGTTGTTTTCAAATAAATTTCATGATGGCCCTTCAGACATAAAGTAACCACTTAACCACTGAGCAATGAACTCCAGAAAACACGGTGTCATGTCAAAGCCAGGGAGCAGCTTTGTGCCAATCTGTGCACAGGCATCTGCCTGACCTGCCCAGCAGGTGACAACGAAGGTGAGGCAGCTGTCCCCCTGACTGAGCATGTGCCCACAGCCTGCCACCTCTGAAAGATGTGCTCCTGGTGCAGGGGAACCAGGCAGAGTGCACGCTGACCCCAGAGCTGGGGCGTGAAGAGAACAAAGGAAGGGCTGTGCAGGACCGCCACGGCCTGAGGTGAAGTGGAAGGATGCCAACCAGGCTGCCACGGGTCACCGCAGAGGCCATTTCAGACATGCAGGTTGCACACCTGTCTGTACACAGCAGAGATTCTTAGTGAGTCTAGAGATGTAGGAAAATGAGGAGCCCAAACTGAAAGCTGAGAGCCACTCGGTGAGTGCACACACCCCATAGTGCTCCCCCAGGAACAGCAGGAAGGCTGTGGGCAATGGCGTCCTTTCCTGCTCAGTGTCCTGCGTGGCGGGCCCTTGGGAGCAGAGTCAGCACACCTGCTCGCTGCCTTCCTACAGGGTGGCTTCCACCACCCCATGGCCTTGCCTCCTGAGTGCCACTGGTTTGCTTTCAGGGGACAGAAAGATTTCACTTACACACTATCTCCGATCACAGTAGGCGAGGGTAAAAGAGAATCAATCTGTAGCATTAAAAAAAAAAAAAAATCCATGGAAGCCACACCAGAAAGTTTAGGATTTTAAAGCAAAACAGTATCAACAGGTTATCTAGTATATTCTAAAATACCTGTCTTGCCAAGATGTGGCACTCTCATCCAGAAAAGCTGGCTTCAAAACACACGTGGGTGTCCCATGTGGGGGAAGCACTCAGAGTACAGGAGCAAAGAGACACAGGGATAGAGTGCATGCACCGTCAGCGCGCACCATGAGTCCTCGTGTGCACGTGTACACAAACTGCATGCCGAAGGCCATCTGCTCCCTTCACCTGTGTTACCGTTTAGATATGAGGTGTTCCCCAAAAGCTAATGTGAGGGACAATGAGACAAAGTTCAGAAATGATGTGATTGTCATCCATGGATTGAACCAACAGTTCTGACTGGTAGAAGGCAGAGCCGCAGGTCCCCTGCCCTTTGTGTATGTGATGGAGGGAAAGGCCCTCCTCTTCCTCTGGACTATGGCCTGCGCTGTGCCATGTGGACCTGCTCCTGACTCTCCAGGAGTCCCTCCACTGACCCACAGGCTTCCTCGTGAGGTGAGCAGCTGTGGCAGGACTTGTATAAGAATACACATGGCCCTTTATAAACACCATGACACTTCGGTCACCACAACCAGCTGGCAGGCAAAGCATTGAGCATGCAGAGGTCACCTGAGGTGCTCCAGGGTCAACAAGTGACCAAGCTTGATTCGGGGCTGTCTGCCTGTACAGATGCCCTTACTACTAGGCCAGCGACCTTGGCTCAGGTCAGAGGAAAAGGCTGTTGAGCACTATTCCTGCAAACTCTCAGCTTATGGGGTGGATTCTATGCAAATTAATTTTATTTTCTTACAAATGAAGTCCTTCAATATAAAAAAGAACAAGAAGAGAAAAACAAAAACCAAGAAAAACCGTTTGGGCTCTCACTCCATCCTTATCCCCGCCTCATCCCCCCAATAAAAAAAAATATAAAGAAACCCACATCAAGGACAACTGATCAAAACACAGATCAAAAAAGAATGAAAGAAAAACATTTCAAATAAAGTTCAGCTGTTTCTATTTGGAAACAACAACAAAAAAATCCCACTTGCCACAATAAACTGACAAATAAGAAATCGACTCTGTGGTGACGAAGCTGGAATTTTCCGATGGCACTGGCTCCTCTGTCATTACTGTGGGTGACCCAAAGTGAGCAGGGCGAGTGAACAGCTGGGCATTGCCTGCGCTCCCGGCCCTGAAACAGGAGCACCCTGGGCAGGCCTCCAGAGACAGGCTCCCCCCACCCCAACTGGAAAGCCCTGAGGCGAAGAGAAACCCTCCAGCGCTCCCCACCTGAGGGCTGCCAGCCTGCTCAGACAGGCTGACTCCCCATTCCTCGCCCTGGGGGACAAGAAAGGGCATCTTTTGTAGCCTTGTCTGCAGATTTCCCATGGAAACAGGTGGCTATCCAACCTCAGGCCCTGTTGCCTTCCACAGAAAATGCTCAGGCTCCTGGACAGGGCAGTTGCTCCAACCACCCTCCCATGTCTCGAGTGCACCCACTCATATAGAGGTTCAGTCCAACAAGAGTCACGAGAAGGATGGGGCACAGCCTTACAGTTTGGAGGTGAGGTGTCCCCCAAGGCTAACGTGTGCGACAATGCCAGGACGTGCAGAGGTGGAAGGAGTGGGGAGAGAACCAGCCTAACTCTGCACTGAGTGGGTGACGTGGGTGGTAACTGTAGGTGGCTGGGTGGGGCCCAAGGAGAAGGGTGCTGGGGATGGCCTTGTATTTTGCCGGGCTGAGAGGAGATGTGTCTCTCCGCTTGAGGACATGATTGTCACCCTGAGCTGCTTTCTTCCACCACACTCTTCCGCCATGATCTTCTACCTCATCTAGGGCCCAGAACAAAGGAACTGACTCTCCATGGACTGTGGGCTCTGAACCTGTGAGCCCCAAATAAACTTTCCTTCTTCCAAAATTGTTCTTATCAGGTCTTTTGTTCACAGCAGCAAAAAAGCTGACTAAAACACACGCCGGGGACGGTGGCACACGCCTGTGATTCCAATGTCTTGGGAGGCTGAGGCAGAAGGATCACAAGTTAGAAGCCAGTCTCAGCAACTTAGCAAGACCCTGTCTCAAAATTTAAAAAGGCGGTGTGTGTGTGTGTGTGTGTGTGTGTGTGTGTGTTTATGCGCGCGCGTGTGTGTGTGTGTGTGTGTGTGTGCTGAGGAAGCTGCTCTGTGGTTAGGTACCCCGGGTTCAACCCCCAGTACCAAAGGGAGAAAGTGAGCTGTGGGTGAGATTTCCTTGGAGAACACCATCTGCAGTGCAGGTGGACATACAGCCCCACTTCCCTGAACTGGATGTTTTTCCCCCACTTTCTACTTTAGGCTTTAAAAAGAAAAATGCTGATGAGCATAGTCTGGTGACCACACAAAGCAGGGAACTAACGTCACGGTACCCTGAGGGCCTCCTCAGCACCTTGTCAGCCCTTCACTGTTAGGACTTCTCCTGTTGCCACGGGAATGGCAGCATCTCCATCACCAGTTGTTAGCACTCCTCAATCTGCTTACTTTGAAACACGTGATTTCCACCAGCTTCTTTTCTCTTGGCATCTCACTGTGGAGAGCTGTCTCTGCAGTCCTAGGCTGGGCTCCTTACTGCTTCCTGTGGGACACACTCCCCAAGTCCTACTTTTACCCCAACCCCATACACAAAAGCACAGGGCCTGGTGGAGATGGGGCAAGGCGCCAGGGCTGGGCTTGACTTTCACAAGGGAAGTTCCTAAAATTACATGGTGGATTTTACCTAGAACCTGAGCAGGCTGTGTGTGTCCTGGGCCCCGGGTGGCCACCTCTGTACTGATCTGTTTGGGATGGTATAACTGCCTGGTAAAGTAAAGGAGTGAGCAGGACAGACTCCAGAAGGCATGGCAGACCCAGGAAGGGTAAAAGCCAGCGCTGCTGTAAGAGCCCCTCAAAAATGACAACTGAGGGGCAGAGAAACTGCTCCCTGCTGCTATGAAGACAGGGTGCCCTCATGGTCACATGTTTCCAAATAGCAACTCAAGCAGTTTTTCCAACTGACGGGATCCTCAGAATTTCTACAGCAAAAAACCATGAGCATTTTCATATTTGCCGTAAGGACCATACTTATGCTCTTGGCCAGGTAGCACTGGTGACAAGTCACACAGGGTCTTGGAATTAGAAGCCTCTGCCCTAGAGTTTCAAAGCATTTCAGTGACACACTAGTTCAGGATACCCTGCTGCCCTGGGAGAATGAGCTCACGATGTGCAAAGTTTGTAGGGTGGTGAGGTTTTCAGACACAAGCCAGCAGGTCAGCTTGCTGGCTAAGACTACTGGCCATGAACTGGCCTGGGACTCACATGCAAGGATACAAGGGTTACTGTCATCGATGTTGCAGCTGTCTAGGATCAGCGGGATGCCATCCAGCTCATTCACCTAGAGAAAGAGGACAGACAGTTTAGTCTGGGCCAGAGAGGATGGACTACTCTTCTCGCCTCCTGATTTCTTCATCCAGTGTTACAACATGCTGGCACAATTACATTAACCACACCCCACCCCCCATCAGTCCAGAAACATTTAAAAAGACATCAACAAAACTGATACTTTATTTTCTTTTTACTCTTTCAGTTGAATATTGAATAGTCAAATAAAAAATGATAAATAAAAAATGATAAAAAAATTAAAAATGATAAAAGAAGATCTCTTCCTAACACTGTTCACAGGGTCAACTCCAAATGAACGTGAGCTGCAAATTTAAACAGTGAAAAAATACTAATACTAGAAGAAAACACGAGTGAATGCCTTCTCTACACAGGAAGCAGGAAAAGTTCCCAATTATGATTCAAAAATCCGGAAACAAAAGGGAAAAGGTTTTATAATTTGACTACATTTTAGAAAAGAAGGAAAATGAAAATTGGGGAAATTATTTGTAAGATGTCACAGACTAAGATATTTGCAAAAGATTAACATTTTAATATATACAGAACTTAAAAAGTTGAAATGGAGCTTGCTGTGGCTCAGGGTCAGAGCACCTGCCTCACATGTATGAAGCCCTGGGCTTGAATCCCAGGGGAGGGGAATGAACAAATTAATAAGTTAACCTGAGAAATAATAAAACATTAAATTAAAAAAAAAAAAAACAACAACAACCCAAATACCAGTTACCCACAGGGAGAGGAGGATGGAGTTGGAAGAAACAGGAATGAGACCCTGCCCACCAGCAGACCTGTTTTTACAATTCTATAACTTTGGAATGAATCTATGTATGTTTTATATAATTTTCTGAATTTCCAAACTGAAACAAATTAATCTAAAAAGACATACGACAAAGAGAAATTACTTCCTCTAATGGGAAATGCTTTGACTTTGTGCCCCTAGTGAGACAGATCCTATATCACAGCCACGGCGGGGACCCACACCACACCTAGTAATCTGAGCCTCAGTGATGACATTAATATTATTATTTTGAACCATAATTTGCATATTGAAAGCAAATGAGCAAGTAATATCATTGGCAACCACGATTTTCAGCCTTAAAAAATCTAATCAGTTAATTTTATATTTAAAATACAAACATTAATATGAACTCATGGTATATTTTTTCTCTTCCCAAAAATATAATATTTCCTTAGTTTACTGAAAAGGCCTAAAAGCAAAGAGTGCAGCAGCAGTGAGCCCCATGTTCTGAACTCCACACCCCACTCTTCCAGAGGTCCTTGGTGACAGACTTGCTTGGACAACCATTACCTGTTGGTAATGGTTCTCAGGCTCCCCAATACCAAGACAAAGAGAAAATTAGCTGGCATCATCTAATTCATATCATTTCCTCTGGGCATGAGAGGAGAGGAGGCCTGGCGGCACCCCGGGCAGTCTCAGACTCTGAGGATTTGCTCTGCAAGGCCAGGCATTACGGGCTCCTCTGTACAGAAAGGGAACATAAGGATCAGAAGCCAGCGCCCTCCCTGTGGCCATTCATCTAACAAGTGGGGTCTGGAGACCACTGCAGCTCATAGCAGTGGACCCTGAGAGGACGAGCTGCAAAATTGCTGGCAACTTGACACTTTGGCCACGTCTGATGGATTTTGTGATAAAATCTGGGTTTCAATTTCTATCTTTTTAAATTTTTTATTTTTCTGGTTATTCACTTCAGACCATATTTTATAGAATTATTGGTCCTGGACAGTTTGGGGAAAGGAAACTCATGTCTCAGCACAGCAAGAGTAGTGGTCGGCCACTCTGAGGGTAAACCCTGGGTTCTGCCCCTCCCAAGTGCCCCTCCAAGGCTCCTCCAGTGACACGCTGCACACTAACCAGGAGAGTCTGGGGAAGAGCCTGCTGCTGGCACTGGGGTGAAGACAAAGGGAGCCCTCAAAAGGGGCCAGTAAGGAACTGAGAGCAGATCCTCACCAGCCCCTGAGAACTTGTGACCTGGATGCCAACGCAGCCCTGAGCCCGATGGAGGCTGGTTTTGGCTCCTGGTTTATTTAGCCAGGGAATAAACCACAGAGCAGGAGCTCAAGGAAGGCCTCCCTGAAGAAGGGCGGTGGGTGAAGGTGAGGAGAGCGAATGGAGTTGAGGCAGACGAGTGAGGGGCCATGCGGTGTTTGGTGGGGAAAGAGCAATGTGAGGGCTGGGTGCTGGAAGGCAGGCGGCATGGAGACGGGCAGGACGGTGAGCACAGCCCAGCGGGAGCCCGGCCTTGGGCAAGTCACTAAACCTCATGTGTGAAATGGGGTGACAGGGCCTGCTTCAAAGGGACTGTGACTACAGAATGGACTGCCATGCCTGGGGAACACAGGGCAAGCTCAGTCAGGGTGCAGTGAGTGGTGGTGGTGGCCAGTGACGTCCATGTGGTCAGCTGGCAGGAGGTGGGTGGCTCATGAGAGTAGGAGAAAACGAGGACACTCTTCACAGGCCAAAGTTACCCTTCCATTCTGCAGGGGGAAAACTGCAAACTCTTCTCAAACACCAGCTTTTTCTGACAAGTGAGAAATAAAGTATTTAGCATTTATTATTCAGTGCAAGAAAAACACCTCTTCCTTTAAAAAAAAAAGGTAGAATTCTGAGGTGTTTCAAATGGGTAAGATTTTCTTTAAAGGAAATAAAACCACTTGCTGAAAACTGAAATTTAAGCAGGAATCAGGGATAAATGGAAGAGTTCTTACAGATCAGGGGCCAGTGGCACTGAGGGGGAATTGAGGAAGGTGCTCCTGGGCCAGCGTCTCAAGTCCACACTGCTGCATCACCAACAGGGGACAGAGGAGACTCCACAGAAAGGCCTCAGTGTCTACAACACCAGACACGCACCACCGCACACTGGGGGCCAGTGGCTGTCAAGCTCAGCAGGAAATGCAGACTCAGTGCGACACCCCCACGAGGGGCTGAGCCCATCTGCTACTTCCGGCCAGTTCACTGCCATGGGGCCAAGGTGCGCGGCAGGGGAGAACCATTAGGACCTTAACGGGCTTTCTTCTGTTAGCACTTCATAAAACAAGGAAGTGGTCTGTGTCTTTACACGACATGTTGGGAGCTGATTCTGGACCCAGAGCACATTGAGTCATGAGCTTTGGAGCTCCCGCAGAGCCGAGCTTGGGGGGCTCTCCCGTGGTGATAGCACAGCAAGACAGGGAGCCTGGTTTAAGCAAATGGGCTTTGGCCTTGGGAAGCAAACGGGAGACAGCGAACGAACTTGCCCCTTCGCGTCCCCCAGGAGCGCAGGTCAGGAGCTCATGGTGCGATTGTGCAGGTGTGGCCCTGGATCACCACCGGAGGGAGGTGAGCCAGGGGCAGCACGGTAGGCCTGGGTCATCCTGCTGTGCTCACACTGCATGGTGGACATGGAGGACAAAACCTCAGAGGGCAGAAACGCACTGTGAGGGAGAGGAGCGTCCTGAGCCAAGTCTGGACCACGCTCTAAAAACACATTCACAGCAGTCCCTCAACAGCAGGCCCACGTGCCACCAGGCCTGCCACAGAAGTGAACGGCCAGCGTGGGCGTGGTGATGCTCAGACGTGGTCCATCTAGGGATGCTGCCACCCAGGATACCTGACGGCCAGCTCAGAGAGCTGGGGGATGGGCTGGGGGTGGCCCAGGGGTAGAGCGTTCACCTGGCATGTCGAGCCCTGGCTCCCCGCATGTACCACCTGAAGACTACTGCAGATGAAAGAGCATCATGGAGAGAGGCAGCAGCTGGGGTCTCCTCATGAGACTAACTCCCTTCCCTGCCCCACAGGGAAGGGGAAGGGTCAACAAGCAGACAGACTACAGGACCCCAGTCAGCCTCTGGTGGTTCTGAACTTCGGAAAGTCTAGGCTACCTGACGTGGAGCTGAAGAGCTGTGGCCACATGTGGTACTGTGGTGGGCATGACACAAGGAAACCTGAGGCCAGGTGGCCTGCCTGTCATGAGAACATGAGAAACAGCAGTGACGTAGGATGCACTGTCTCCTGAGCACACTCAAAGAGCTGGATGTAGTGACCTCTGACCTCCAACAAAGTCCAAACAGAACTCTGACTTCCTGGCTCGCAGCCTGTGCCACTGTCCTCAGCTGTCTCAAGCTGGTGTCCTCCTGCCATTCTCTTCCGACCTTTGCCTTACACAGCAAATTCTAAGTCTTACACTACTGTGGGACATTCATCTTTAGGTGGCACTGGTTTCCACAGTGTTTTGTGCAACTCAGCTTTGTTATTAAGCTGCTTCTGTCCCCGGGGACAGGAGGACAAAGAATGATACACCTCAGGGAGCAACTAGTATGCAGGAGGACTGCATTTTGCAACACTCCTCCAGAGAGCTCAGAACCCTCCAAGACCAGGGGCCCTCAACCTCACTACACAGTGGCATCACCTGGAGAGCCCTGAACAAATGCATGAGAACTCTGGGCACCAAAGTCTCAGCACAAGCCCTCCAGGCAGCTCCCACGTGCAGCAAAGGTGGGAACACCCGACACTCCCAGAGCCAAGAGCTCCCACCAGCCGCAGTCCCAGGGAGGAACTCCTGAAGCCCAGCACCTGTCGCATGCTGGCTCCCTTGGTCCTTTGCTTTCTTTACTACTAAAATGCACTTTATGGAGCTACAGTTCCTGCACAGTAAATGGCCACTGCACCTGTATGAGCACAGACAAAATCCAGATGTGGGACATTCTCGTCACCACAGAAACGTCCCTGGGCACCGCTGCACCCACCTCCCCACATGCCTCTGCTCAGTCTTCTCTGTGTTGTCCTCACAACATATTTTCCTCTTTCCATAATCTAATACGTATTAAATCATATCAAAAGGAGCCTTTTCCAGTGTTTTCAGGTTCACCCCTCTTGGTATACGCATGGTAATTTTTTTCCTTTTTATTTCTGATTATTAGTATGCTATCATCTGTCTGTTACAAGCTGATGGACATTTGGGTTGGTTCCAATTTTATCTGAGAGGAATGGAGGTGCTAAGA